TTCGTAATGTCTTGAAATATTCCCCGTACGTTGACAACAATCGCATGTCTTTACAAAGGCATAAGTCCTTGAAAAGAGTTGGCCAATAAAATCCTGATTGTAGTACATTAGAAACAGTACTTGTAGTACCAAAATGACCTCCTCCATAAGGTGAGGAATGATAATACTCCATAATTGATTGTACTACTTCTACAAGGATACACCTTTTGATTATCATATCAATGCATCTCTGGAAGAGTAGTGGATCATCTCACAAATATCACTTGACATCATGTAAGAATTTTTTCTTTTGATGGGAGGTCAAGTTAGGTCAATTTTTTTCACACATTGAGTAGTTAACGAAGTCAGCATACCATGGGATCCTTGATAAGACTACTAATAGGACCTCGTCAGGTAAAGTTTATTGAATTTGACTATCATCTTCCACCTTTTCATTTTCTAATCGTGAGAGATGATCTACAAATGTTCAATTCCTTTCTTATTCCAAATCTCTACATCTAATTTTTGTAACAGCAGGATCCATCGAATTAAGCATAGCTTGGCATCTTTCTTTTCAAATATATATCGAATTGCAGCATGATCTGTGTAAATGATTACTTTGGTGCTAATAAGATAGGATCTGAACTTGTCACATGCAAGGACCACTACTAACGTTTCCTTCTCTGTTGTGGTATAATTTATTTGAGCTTCATTTAGAGTTTTGCTAGCATTGTAAATTACTCGGAATATCTTTTCACACCTCTGTCCTAGAACTACCTCGACTGCGTAGTCACTGACATCACACATGACTTCAAACAACTGACCCCAATTTGGTGTTACCATTACTAGAGCTGTGATTAATTTCTGTGCTTCAAATGCCTTTGGGCAGGCTTCGTCAAACACGAATGCGATGTCCTCTTCCAAAAGGTTGTACAGAGGTTTGGCTATCTTTGAAAAGTCTTTAATAGATCTCTTATAAAACTCAGCATGTTCCAAGAGACTTCGAACGGGTTTGACATTAGTGGGTGGTGGTAACTTTGGTATTGTATCAATCCTAGCCCTGTCAACTTCAAGTCCCCTTACTGAAACATGGTGGCCTAGCACAATTCTTTCTTATAACATGAAATGGCATTTTTCCTAGTTAAGAACTAAGTTCTTTTCCTGATCTTCTAGTGCTATAGCATTCTGATTGTAGCAAAGTAACCATCAAGAAAGCAGTAGTAAGAGTAACCTTCTAATATGTCCAACATTTGATGAATGAATGGAAATGGGAAGTGATCTTTTCTAGTTGATTTGTTTAGCTTCCTGTAATCAATGCAAACCCTCCAACCCATTATTGTTCTTATTGGAGTCAACTCGTTCTCGTTGTTCTTGACCACTGTTATCCCACCTTTCTTCGGTACCATCTATACTAGGCCAACCCATTTACTATTTGAGATAGCAAATATAATCCCTGCTTTCAGTAGCTTTAGTATCTCTACTAGCACCACTTCTTTTATAGCTGGATTTGATCTTCTTTGATGTTCAATGGATGGCTTGTAGGAGTCTTCCATGAGGATTTTATGCATGCAAACTATAGGACTTATGCCCTCAATATCCACTATAGTTAACCCGGAGCAGCCTTGTGTTCTCTCAACACTTTCAACAATCTATCATCTTCACCCCTAGTGAGTGAAAAAGAAATGATCACTGGAGATGTAGCAATTTCTTTCAAAAATGCATATCGAAGGTGATCTGGGAGTTGCTTCAATCCAACCTTACTGTTTACATTACACTTGCTGTTATCTAGTCCCACCAACTGCTGAATATCTTCACTCAGTGATGGATTATTGTCATTTGGCGAAGACTCAAGAGCCAGTATGCAATCAACTAGGTCATTGCTTCCTGTGTAATTTCACGTGGTAGTAATGTCATCCTGTGTTACACCAATCACCATGCAATGCTCGAGGGGGTCCTCGATGAATTTATTTTCCTCGTTCACTAAAGAGTCAGTTCTATGGCAAACGTTGGTATCATCCAAAAATTTCATTACTTGGTAGATATTGAACATCACTTCTTCTTCATTCACCCTCAAAGTCAACTATCTTCCTTGTACATCAATTAAAGCTCTTCCAGTTGCTAAGAATGGTCTACCTAGAATTAGTGAAATCTCCTAATCTTCTTCTTTTTCCAAAACCATGAAGTCAGTTGGGAAGATAGATTTATCAACTTTTACCTATACATTTTCAATAATCCCTCATGGATATGTGAGGGATCGATCAACTAGCTGGACGGTTATTGCTGTTGGCTTGATTTTTTCGAGACCCAACATTTTGAACACTGATAAGGGCATCAAATTGATGCTACCTCCAAGATCACAAAGTCTAGGCTTTAGTTCAAAATTATTAGCAATCATAGCTTTGCGTGCGATACCAAAATAGTTGTCATTAACAATAGGTCTGAAATAGCCCTGAATAGCCCATTTTTATTATTTTTAACTGCTGCTCTTGCTTTCTGTTCTGTCGTTGCTCTATGTTCGTCTCTATATATACCCTTTAGAAAGTGGAATGTGAGTTCTGGTTCAGGATCAACGGGCAATAGGTCAAGATTCCTAGTTCTTTTCATACATAGCTGAAAATTGAAACAAAGAAATTATTAGAGATAGAAATAAGATAAAGTAAAAACTAAAATAAATAAAAAACTAAAATTAAACCTAATTGGTAATAATATCAGTAAAAATCAAATTTTGAATCAATGTTTGTATTCTAATCTAACATGGATGTGATGACAGTCTAAGTAATTTGACATAATTTATAAGAGATTTATCTAAGTGAGAAAGCTAAGGAATGATTTCACCTCCCTATCAAAAATGTTTTTCAACTTCTCCAGTTACTTCTATCAATTTTTCCTATAATATAATTTATCTTTATATTTTAATTTCAATATCTCTATTCCAAATCAAACATATAGAAATTATCAAGTGTGTGGTTCTTAAATTAAATAAGCCTTGAAGATTTCATGCTTCCTCTCGAAACCCACAAAATCTAGGTTATATTGTTCTTAGATCATGCCTAAATCTCCCTCTCTCGAGTGCCAAAATTTAAAGTGTGAAATCATTCAATTATTGACCAGGTAATTGAAAACATTACACACGAATCAACACAAATAAATTAATGGAAAAATCAGTAGAAACAACTGTATTAGAATTCAAACATGTCTCAAGTTAGGTTAGATCAACCCTAGACTCAGAATTTAGTTCATGATTGAGATGAATGATATAATCAAATACAAAGGAAAGAACATAGAGAAGAAAAGATAAAGAAAAACCCATTTGCCTCTTGAATTCTTCTCCCGATTTGTAATTGTTCTTCCTCTCAATCAATTTCATTTTTCTCTTGAGCCGTCTTTTTTTTTTCCTGAGCCGTCTTCCCTTTATTTAGGTCTTTAAGCTCGTATTTATAGTCACCTAATATGTCAAGACGAGTTAAAGTTGGACCGAGTCGAAAAGAAATTAAAAAAAAAAGATTTTTCTTCCTACGCAGATATGGCGCCTCACCTGCTACTTCGTCTCATTTGCTCGTGCGCTAGCCTCTTTTTCACTTTGTTATTCTCTCCTTCAATCTCCATTCCTTGTCCACTTCTATGATCAACACTTTAGCTTTATTCCAAGCTCTGAACAATGCCCTTTTTTATCCAAATTGTCTAAGTTACAAAACAACATGAACACATACATCGAAACGCTTAAAAGTGCTCAAAAAAACCAAAAACCATGATTTATAGGTACTAGTTCAATGAATGAATTACACTCATCAAGAATAAAGATTAAATATATAATTTGGATAATTTATAGTGTAGAGAATGAATTGAGAGAATGTGCATAATAGAATTAAAATTTGAATTAATAAAAATTATCTAATATATGTGAATTACGTGATAATGATGGTTGTTTATGTAATATAATTGTAGAGAGTAGAATAATTTAACAATGAAGAAATTATTATCAAGAGTAAGAAAGAGTAGAGAGATTGTTGAGTTGGGAGAAAAATGGTGAAGTAAATGAGGTATTTATAGAATAAAAAAAAATTCAGAGAACATTGGGGACCTCAACAGTCTCATTAAAACATTTGTGATCTTTTTTTAAATGGTCACAAACCATTAAAAATTGACCAAAGAGTAACTTCTTCAAAAAAAAGGTTGTCATTTGGTCACTATTTGGCTCCGGCTTGTGGCTCACCAAGCAGTGTGCTCAGCTCATCCCAAAGCGAACTCGTGAGCTCGGCTTGTGCTCAAGGAGCGAGCTCAGCTCAGCCCTCGAGCTCGTGAGTTCAGCCCTCGAGCTCGTGAGTTCACGAGCCACGAGCTCGTCGGTGAGCCGAATCGAGCTGAGCCCAAGAGCTCATCAGGCGCATGAGCCGAGCAAAGGCTCGGTTCGTTGGACCACACCTCTACTCAGCTCAATTTGACGAGCGCAAGTCGCCCACGAGTGGCATTTTAACGAGCCGAGAGATCAAGTCGATGAACCGCTCAACCTGTTTGACATCCCTATTCATCAATCCACTGTACTCCAATAACGCTTGAAAAACATAACCAATTATTACAGCTCAATGTAGCTCTTTCATTATATGCTTGAAGTTCTTATACATAAAACTTATTGAATATTATAAACTAAGAAGCAAACTCAATTTATGGTGAAAACAATTTCAATTTCAGCATACAAGAGTGAAGCTACGAGGAAATGATTAAAATTACTTCATTCTACAAAGAAAAGTTTTCACTTTGTTTTTTCAATAAAGAGTTGCTAGACAACTCTCACATTCATTCTAGACTTTTTTTGGCTATAATTAGAATAAGAGGAATTTGTATTGTTATCATTTGCGAGCTTGACATTAATAGTTATGCATTAATTAATTGATAAATTTATATGGAATAAATTAAAATAATTCAACTTAATTAATATAAAAAATTAACAATTTAGAAAGATTCGATTATTTCATTTTTTAATCTAAAATCGATAATCGAATCAAATACAACCATTTTTTGGACTCAAACAAGAGCTGAAATATAATTATAAGTAAATGTCATCGCGAGACAAGAAGATACGAAATTAAGATGGGAGAAGAGGCCCCTACGCCGCCGTCACCGTCACCAGTAGATCAGACAGTAGAGAAGCCATGGCATTCTTACATCTCGGAGGATCTGCCCCGTACCGTCCAGCAGTCCACGGACTCCGCCATTCGCTCTGCCCGCTCACTCCAGCAATCATCTTCAACACATCTCCGCACGATCCAAGTATGCACCACCCTTTTCTTATTCCTATCTACACATATTTTAGTCTGATTTATTTTCAACAAGTGTATACCTTTCATCTTCGTTCTATAATTTGCAGGATTTTATCCCACAAATAAGATCCCGTTACAAAACTCACGAAGAAGCTTTCTTTCACAAAGCTAAAGGTGCTTGTCTGTGCCCTCACTCTCATTATGTGATGTGCTTTATTTGTTAATTTACTTACCATCTTCCAATTCCAATTTTATATCAGATGAATTAAATAGAGCAAGAGAACACCCAGCTGTGGCTGGTGGAGTTGCTGTTACAGCTGCCCTCCTCCTTATGCGTGGTACGTGTGCACTCCACTCCTTTCTTTCATCTTGGAGGGAAAGAGATAGGGACGCTGTCTTGATTAGGCATACAAATACCTCTAATTAGATGTAATGATAATATAAATTTACAGTTGTATTGATAGTCGAAAGAATTATATTTGAAAATCTGTTATGACAATTTTTTAAGCTTCATTGGATATATATATTTTTTTTAACGAGGACTAATTTATATTCAAGTTATTGTTAGGTGGACATGGTGACCAATTGGTCCTAACATGAACTTGTCACTTAGATAAAGTTTGGTTGAGCTTATTTATAACATAGACTTTTTTCTGTTCTTTGTCTAGACAATTTGGGAGTGCTTATAAGCAACTTTTGTTTTCTTACATTAAGGAAAAATATACTTATTTTGCTAGTAGGTTGTGTACTAGCAAAATAGACAAGTTTTTCCCAACTTTTAGCAAGGAAAAGAGTAACATGCCACCTTTACTAATTACTCCAACAAAATCACTATCGATATTCTCACTTTCTTCCCTTTCCTTAACTTTTAAAGTATGAACAAAATTACAAAAGAGATGCATCAGCAACTGAAAGGATGAAGCAGTCTTGTGAAGCTTCCCCATTGTCTGAGTCTTCATGTCACCAATTCCAGTATTACCAATTGGACGTCACATGGTTGGAGTGTGAGAGCGAGAGACAATACCATACACATGTATGTTGAGGTGGCAGAGTTGTTGCGCCATCTTTGGCGATAGATAGTGAGAGGCAATGAGTTTTCTCATTAAACCTCTCACCATTTTCATTTTCCTTTTAGATCCTTTTGAAGTGGAAAAGATATTTGGAAAATTATTTGCAATAATGGAATTTGAAATCTAAAATTTGAGAGCTAGAGAGTTGCACCTAATAATATTTCTCTTATTCAAAGGAGATTTCTGGGCTTAACAAAGGTAGTATCTCTTCTATGTGATTGTTTATTTATGATATGTAATGGATTAAAAGCAGTGTATCTGTATTTATATATGATACTTTTACCCTCCTAACTATAGTTTATCCATATATATTTATTAAAAAAGTGATTTAGATAGCCCGGCACGCTCTTGTGTCAGTGGCCTTGAGCTTTTCATTCACTACATTCAAGACAGCTGGAAACTCTTGACTAGGTGAAGCTAGAAATCTTAAAATGCTGTAACAGAAGGTATAGTTGGGGAGAATAGGGAAAGAATGACCATAATGTAAAAGGATTCATTGGGTACCGAGGCATTTTATTTTCTTCAAGTGAGGCATAAGCCTCAAGATAAACCAATATAATATTTAAAATGATATTAAAATACACAAAAGACGCTTATAATAAATAATATAGCATCTTAGAAAATCCTAATAAGAAATTTAGAAGTTCAACGAGCACACAAATACAAAACAGATTGATAAAGTATCATATAATAAGTTCTCATGTTAATAAACAACAAAATTATAATAGGATTTTTAAGGGAATCATCAACATCATCCTCCTCATCACTATTAGTTTCTCCTCATTCTTTATCATCTTTCTCCACTAGCTATCATGTGTTCTCCCTTCCCTTCCCTTCCCTTCCCTTCTGTGTGTAAAATGAAAATTAAAAAACTCGTAAAACATCCTACATTACGAAGAAGTATCCCAAAAATTCTAAGGCCAGAAACAAAATGTTCAGAGAACATAAGACAAATGGTCAAACATTGTAGTCCCCTTGAGGCTTAGCCTTAAAGTGTTTTATGAAAGCTTCACTTGAGGCTGGATTCAAGGTGTTAGTTTGTTTTGGAATAAGGAAGATTTGAGCTGTGCTTTGAGGTTTTTTTCGTAAAGTTTCTTTTGGGCTGTTACTATTTCAACCTGTTGTTGAGCTATTATTTTTGGCTATTGTTATTGATTTGGGCTGTTCAGTCTTTGATCATTCAGCCTGTTGTTGGGCTGCTATTTTGGGCTTTTATTATTGTTGTTGGGCTGTTAAGTCTTTGATATTTCAGCCTGCTGTTGGGCTGATATTTTGGGCTATTATTGTTGCTTTAGACTATTATTGGTTGTTGGGAAACTATATTGTTATAACTTGATTTAATTGGCTACATAGTGGGCTGTTGGGCTGCTATTGCTTGATAAAATAATCTTCTGTATAATTTTTGGGCTTCTTGTGTTTATAATGTTGACGGAAAATACTACCGTTTAAATGGCAAAAATTACTCCACATGGGAGTTTCAATTTAAAATTTTTATAAAAAGGCAAAGAAGTATGGGGACATTTCGATGGGTCATCTATAACTCCTATAGAGACAAAGGAGATAGAACAATGGGAGAGTATAGATGCTCGCATTATTACCTAGATTTTGAGATCACTTGAACATCATATGATACCCAATCTTTGCTCATTCACCACTGTCAAGGAGATGTGGGATTATCCCAGAGTTGTCTACAATCAAGGAAACTTGACACAAAAGTTTCGGTTGGAATTGGAGATTGCACTATACAGTCAAGGTAACCTTCCTATTGACCTATTTTATGTTGGTTACCTAATTTATGAAGCGAATACTCTGGCATAATTCATTTCAATGCTCCTAAAGAAGCTTTAGCCTCCCGACAAGAAATTCAAGTAGAAAATCGAAGGGATCAATTTCTTATAAAGCTGCAATCGAAGTTCGAAACCATTAGTGCTAGCCTTCTCAACTGCAATCTAGTTCCATCATTGGATATTTAAGTAGGAGAATTGTTACATGAGAAACAGCGTCTTGCTACAAACTTGGAATGATTGCAATCAAATGTGTCCTCAGAGGTTATTAATGTTGCATATGTTGCCCAAGGATGAGGAAAATCCAAATCTCAATCGTAGTGCTACACCTGCAAGGAGTTTAGCTATATTTCCAAGCATTGTAGCAAGAAATTTTGCAATTATTGCAAGAAGGAAGGAACACATCATTAAGGATTATTGCTTGCAGCCTCAAATATGCTTGGCTCAAGCTTTTCAAGCTAATGTTCAATCGACCCTAGCTAGTGGTCAAAGCTCTATAAGCAGTTCATTCACTCTTCCACTTAAGATGGTGCAATAAATGAATAAGATGATTTTTTTTATTTTTTGCCTTCTCTGCCTTAGGATTGCAAAGTAAGCGAAACTTGCTCTCTTCTTCTTGGTTGGTTGATTTTGCTGCTTCAAATCATATGACTAAAAATACGAATAACTTAATGTTCGAAAGTATGAAGGTAAGCAACACATAGAGATAGCCAATGGTAGCACGTTACCAATAACTGTAGTCAGGAATTTAGGGCCTTCATTTAATAGCATGTTTATATATCTTGATTTATCTACAAGTTTGATTTCTGTTGGACAATTAATGGATAATAATTGTGATGTGGGTGTGATGGTTGTCTTGTGTTCGATCAAGCATTGGGGAAACTGATCACGGAAGGGCCTAAAGTGGAACATTTGTTTCCTCTCCAGTTTTCCATTCCTAGTACTATATCTTTTGCTTATACTGCTGTAGCTCATAACTCTAATGTCTAGCATAAGAAATTGGGACATCTCATACTGTTTTGGCTTATCTTGTGAAACATGGTCACTCGGGTAATAAAGATTCAATTTCTTTATCTTCTAACTGTGCTACATGCAAATTAAGTAAAAGCAAAATTTTACCTTTTCCTAATCATGGTTGTTGTGCTTCTGCTTGCTTTGAGATTATTCATACTGATGTGTAGGGTGTCAGCCCGATTCTTTTACATAGTTGGTACAAGTATTTGGTGACATTCGTTGATTATTATAGTTGTTTTACTTGGGTCTATTTTCTCCATTCCAAAGCCAAAGCTTCTCAATCTTTCAGACAGTTGTTCCTTATGTTAAGACTCAATTTTTCACTTAACATTAAAATATTACGTTCTGACTCCGGGGGAATATTTGCCCAAAGATTTTTAGGACTCTCTTAACAAAAGGAATTCTCTCTTAACGCTCTTGTTTTTATGCTCCCCAATAGAATAGTGTTGCAGAACGTAAGAATCTTCACATTTTAGATGTTTTTCGTACTTTACTGATTGAATCTTCTGTGCTTTCTAAGTTTTGGTTCAAAGTTTTATCTATGGCTGTATATTTGATTAATCGTTTGCCACCTACTGAACATTACAAACTTACGGCCTAAGCCACACAGTGTGTTTTCATGGGATGCAGTCCCACACATAAGGGGTTTATATGTCACAATGTGAATGCTAATAAGCTACGTATCTCTCAAAATGTGGTTTTCTTGAAAACCAATAATTTTTTCACTTGTGTTTCCCTCCTGACACCTTCATTCTTCCTCCTTTTGATGTTGAGTCTTATTATATTGAATGTTTTAAACTAGGAATTGTGTATCAAAGATGTTCCCTACTACGTTCACTGCTTGATCCCAAATTAATGCTTGATCTCGAACTAGTTCCTAGCTGTCTAGAGCTTGAACTTCAACACTCTGGTCATGTCACTCGTCTTCCAGATAAGTATGGTTTCTAATATACTGCACTTCAGGCTACTATTGATACTATCTGTTTTAAAATCATACTCTCAGGCTGCTAGTCAAGCATGTTGGAAGCAAGTTATGAATGATGAACTTCGGACTCTTTGGGATAATCATATTTGAGACATTGGTTATGGTTCAAATAGGGTGAAAGTTATTGGATGTAAACGGGTTTACACAAGAAAGCTATATGCTAATGGTTCTATAGAACAACATAAGGTACGTCTTGTGGCACTTGGCAATAGACAGGAATATAGCCTTTATTATGAAAAGACTTTTGCACCACTAAGATTACTATAGTGCACACTATCATTGCCATCGCTGCATCCCAAGGATAGTCTCTCCGATAGATAGATGTCAAGAATGTTTTTCGACATAGGACCTCAAAGAAGTATACATGACTCCTTCTCTCGACCTATTCACCCATTCCTCCTTTGATGTTTGCCTTTTAAAACGATCACCATATGGGTTAAAAGATGCAGCCCGGGCATGGTTTAAGAATTTCCTCAATATTTTGCTTGATTTTACTTTTATCCAAAGTCAGATGTATTCATCTCTTTTCATTTGAAAAACTACTACTGGGATTGTGGTTCTTCTAGTATATGTGGATGATATTGTCATTATAGGTTCTGATCTATAGACAGTTGAGGAGGTACAGCAGCAGCATCTTCGAAATTCCTTTCACGTGAAAGACCTTGATCCATTACAATATTTTCTTAGCCTTGAAGTAAGCACTAATTCTATAGGCACATTGTGTGCATCAGCATAAATATACACGAGATTGTTAGGTCCGCTAGGCTTCAGTCAAGTAACCTAGTTCACACAACCATGGAGGTAAATTTGAAGCTTTGCCAAACAGAGAGAACTTTTAGTTGATCCTTCGCTTTATCGACAATTGGTAAGAAATTTGAATTATTTGACGATTGCAGGCTTGATATCTCTTTTGCAGTCTAGCGAGTTAGTAAGCTTATGTAAGCCCCTCGACATTCTTACCTTGTTGCTATGCGACGTATTCTTCATTACTGATGTTGATCAAGCTGGCTGAGCGAATACTCAACGTTTGGTTATTGTTTGGTGCATGTTTCTCGGCGATGCTCTAATCTTTTGGAAGAGTAAGAAGTAAGATCATGTCTCGAAGTCTTCCATCGAGTCTGAATATCAGGCTATGTCCTCTGCTTGCTTGGAGTCTGTGTATCTTCGACACTTGCCGGGCGAACTTGGTTTTTTACATCTTACTTCCACTTCTCTTTATGTTGACAACAAGCACCGTTCAGATTGCTCCTAATCTGTTATTATGAGCAGACCAAGCATATTGAAGTTAATTGTCACTCCATTCGAGAAATATTTGATCAACAAGTGATTACACTTCCTCACATTTCTTTAGATCTTGTGACCGTTTGACATATTCACCCAAGCTCTTAGTCGCCTTCAACATCAGCTCATGGTTGACAAATTAATAGTTTTCAATCGATCAGTATCAGTTGGAGGGGGATGTCAGTGTATCACAAATCAGTCACCATATCATGTACATAATTACATTCCTTTCTTATGTTGTAAATATAGAATTTGGGCAGTAAGTATGGAAGGATGTTTTGGCTGTATTAGGGAAGTGATATAATTAAGAGATTTGATAGAAGATATTTACATTGTAATTAGGGAAACAATTCCTATTTAATGAGAAGAAACTCTCAATTGAGAGGCATCGAGACAAAACTGACATTATAGAATTTGGTGGCAACGATGAAACCTTCAAAATAAATTAGAAAAAATGACTGTATGAAAAACAAATTACAAAAGTCAGGGTAACATGCCTTCTCTTCACCCCTGGGTTGTGTCATTCGTTATTTTATATGTATATATAGAGAGAGAACTCACACTAGCTAGCTATGCCGGTTGTTTGCAGGCCCTAGAAGGTTTATGTTCCGACATACACTGGGCCGACTTCGAAGTGAGGAGGTATACTAATATCTCAAATATCAGAAAATTTTCACTTTATATATGCAGACAAGATGAAACTAGTGTCTCATTTTTGTGTTAGCTTTCATAATCCCAAGTGTTCTCAATACCTGAGTCATTGTTTAAATCCTGGTTATTCATATGGTTACAACTGTGGGCAGGCACAATTCATCAGAGCAGAAAAGAATGTCAAAGAATTGAGGCTTTCTGTTGACTTAATGAAGAAGGAGAGCAGAAAGCTTCTTGAAAGAGCGTCTCTCGCTGAAAAGGATATGAAACATGGCCATTTCGACCTAATGTAAAGAATGGTTTTAATCAGTTTGGTGCATATGTAGCTAAGATTTCATCATTTTCTATTTTGACGTTGAAACAATTCATAGGACCGCTGGAACTCAATTTCAAAATCTTGCAAGATCAGTTTACAAAGCAGAAGCTGGAGCTGCT